TACGTCTGTATCAGACGGAACGAGAAAAATGCTCGACACATTTGTTCGACAGCCACAAGTTTGCCGGCTTTGTAAGCGATAGCCAGGGAGTACATAGAGGTGCGATAAATGCTACAGTGGCTGCTATTTGAATCTGGACAGGTACAGGCCTTGCTTACAATCCATTTCCCTTTGTGTTTTATAAAAATATTAACGAAACAGGCAGGGAAGCGAGACGATTGAAATATTTCTCATATTATGAAATCAATAGGTATTATTACTCTTTTATTGAAAACATCCTTATTTAAGCTAAATTTTTCTGGAAGCAATATATTTTTTGTGATTTACTTCTTTGTGCTGCTTACTACTAACCAATACAATAATTTTCAATAAATGATGTTTAGAGATATACAAATAATTTAATTAAAAAAATCAATTTATAATAAGATAGATACTGGCTTTAGCAATTTAGTTATAATTACGGTTGTGTCTCATAAAGTATTTATTTTATGTAATTTTTAAATTAAAAATTTTAATATTTGCTATAATTTATTTCATTCATTGTTATACCCTGTACCCAAAGGGTACAAGGGTATATTAGTTTAGTGCGAGTGCACATGGAACACACAGACCCCACAAAGTATATATATTCTTGATCAGCATGACAAGCCGAGTCGATATAGCCATGTCCGTCTGTCCGTCTGTCCGTCTGTCTGTCCGTCTGTCCGTCTGTCTGTCTGTATGAACGCAAGGATCTCCGAAAGTATAAGAGCTAGAATAACCAAACTTGGTATACAGATTCTCCTGAGACCGAGAAAGGACGAGTTTGTTCATTTTTTCTGATCCACCCCCCCACTCCCCCCCTATTAACGATTTTCTATAACTCCCGTAATTCTTGGAATTTTGAACTAAAATTTGGTAGTCACATTAGGTTAGTAATTATATAACCGTATACCATAGTCTCATTATGATAGAATGATCGGAAAGAAAGTTATAGCCATATAACCAGGCTCAATGCACACATACATACATATGTACAAGTACACAAACACGCATAGACACGATTCTGATGTAATTGTAAATGTATGTATGCATGCATGGAATATTTTATATTTAATTAGTTAATATTTAGTTAATTAATTAAATTAATTTAGTTAATTAATTAAATTAAATTAATTAATTAATTTAATTACTTTTTTGTGGGGTGGTACAGGGTATTTAAGAGTTGAGCCTGCTCGACTTTAGCATTCCTTTCTTGTTTTTGTTTTGAAAACATGATTCGACTCTTATTTATTTTTAATATTTATATTATTTTCAATTTGTTTTAGAATGGTGTTATGCATTTGAGATGATTGCATATCTACTTCCACATAAATCAGCATACAGTATAAAGAATTGTTTTTTCTTATGTCAACAGATTATACAAAAATGCATAATAAACTTTATGCAATATACATACATAGTATATTTAATGTATGTACAATTTAAATTGATATCAGATTTTAAAACTGATCAATTTGTTCTTCAATTCAACAGCTCTAGATCTCAATAAGCACAAGCTTAAAGAAAATAAACGAAAACTATTAAGAGTACCCTTTTTCTTAAGTCGACATATTTGTTTGTTTATTTAGGTGCTTAGATTTCACCGTTCTCCACTATTTATGTATATACATGGCAGTTTTTAAATCGATACAACTATGATGGAGGGTCAAAAGCTTAACCCACATTGGCAAAATGTCTGCACAATAAAAATTTAAAACCAATACCCAAGAAACTTTTGGCAGTTACGCCCCAGCCAGTCAAGGCGGCAGAAAGAAACTTTTCTAATTTCACATTATGAAAATTATCTAGACTAAAAATGCTTAGGCCATGAAATTTTACAAGTTGCACAAACGAAGGCGACCTAGAAAGGGACCGCTTTATATATTTTTGGGGCCTGCCAATTGACCGTCGCTCCCCCTGGACCCTCTGAGTTGTGGCGACAAATGGCAAAGGAAAAACGAAAGAATGAAATGAAAGGAAAGGAAAGAGGCAGGCGTCAGGCAAAAATGTGAAATGTGAAAAGTGTGTGGCAACAAGAAAATGAAATAAGAGCCGTGAAAACTTTTCCATTAGGAAAATTAACTGAGATTAAGTGTACTATGCACAATATACGAGTATGGCGGAAGCTTCAACTTCGATGTAGTTTAGGGTGGGCTTCTGGCATTGTTATGGGGCCATTGGCTCATTTGCTTTAAATTTCGGAATTGCTGCAATTTTAGGGCATTTAAACATTTGTCACACACACACACACTCGCACGCATAGCCACACAAACACATACATATACTTGTATTCTTGCCGCTCGTAAGTTATGGCATTGCCGGAAGTGCGCCTTGCGCTGACAATAACGGATGCTTCAGGCCCACACATGTCTGTGTGAATGTACGTGTATGTATATGTGCATGCGTGCGTGTAAGTATGTCAGTGTGTAGAGTGTGTTGCCATTGTTTGCGCCGCCCCACACTGACTGACTGCTTGCCACCCATCGATACTAATCTAATTTTATTGATATTGACACAATTTCTGCAGATTTCCGCATAAACATAAAAACAGAGGCTACAACAGCAACGAAGTCGGCAGCCGAAAGCTGCAAACAACGGGAACGGCAGTAAAGTCAATACTAAGGCGGCAGCAACAACAACAACAACAGCAACATCAGCACCGTCAAGTTAAATCTAATCTAATAAAACGAATGAAACATATAGAAAAAATACAAGTTCAATAATGTTGCCTTCAGTTGTCCCCATGAATGAAATCCGATTGACTTCAATGGCAACGAAAAGGAGCTTTAAATACTCGAAAATACAATATTTTTAGGCCGCTGAGAAATACATACTTGAATACAACATTCCATTTTGATCATATTTAATATATTTTTAAGCCTAGAAGTATGTGAAAGGGCTTAACTAATGAATGTTTTCGAAATATTGTATACCCTAATTCAAAAGCTTTCAAATGCTTACCATAAATGCATTTTTACATACAAGCATATATATAGTATTCGTTGATAGAGTGAGTTCATTACAACTATATGGTTGGAGAAAGTACATCAGATAAATAGTAATTTTTTGTGGGAAGGTATTTCTTGTAAAAGACCTCTATGTCATGTCTACCTCATGTCTCATTTTCTATATTGATGATAACCCACAATTATCCTCAAGGAAACCTAGTCGTTTGTTAGTAAGGTGCCTTTAAGAAACTGATACTGATAAGAAAAGTTAGCTACTGATAGTAGGCTACCACTAAGATTTCAGTACATGTTCAATGAAAGTGCGCAAATCTTCCTTAGCTATCAACAGCTATAGTTTCTGGTTGAAATAGCTGTGATGTAGTGTACAAATTTATCCTACTTGTACTCCTTAATTTGTGTCTTTTTCGGAAGTGAACAAAATTTATAAATGCGCGTATATTTATTTTAGTAGTCTACCTAACCGATTGGGCATATTTTTGAAGAAATGCATTGTCTTTCCGACAACAGCATAAATTTCTCATAATAATGTTAGAGCTCAAATTACTGTGGACTCTTGAAAACTGCGATGAACCTAAGTTTTCGAATTTACTTATTAACCAATCTGAAGGACTGTAGCGAAAAGAAATAAATTAAATAAATATACATTCCTAATTAACTATAAGCTACAAAAAGGAATTTCTTGTTTATATGTCTAATATGTTCTGCACACTTTATTTAATAATAATAGAAGTGCTCGGTCTTGGCAATATCTTTCTATTGGGCAAAGGTTTGAAGTGTTCGATAACAGAATAAACCCTATGAACTTCCAACAAAGCGAGAGTATAATTTTTTGACCAATTACTACTTATTTTTCAATTTCATTTCTATTTTTTATAGGTTCTGTATTTATAGCCTGTACCCAAAGGGTGAAAGGCTATACTAGTTTAATTTAATTTTAAGGCAATAGAGATGCTAGTTCTAGTGATTAGCGTGACTGCCATAGGAACGCTATTGTAACCAAAATTACGTGATTATAAGTTATTGGTAATCCAAGGTTTCGTCAAAATCAAAGCATTTTATCACAAAAGTGCCATAGAAATGATTTGTAAATTATATTATCAGTGTCAGTGCTACCAATATAAATAGACTAATTTATCAATTACTCCAAAAAGTCTTACATTTGTTAACTTTTTATTACATTGCACTTTGAAAATTTCCATCGAACAGCAATAAATACAAATTATTTATCGAAGTCAGCTCAAGGCAATTTAATGAAATGTTTACAAATGTAAGCCAAACAGGCCTTAACCATAGATAAGTAAATACTTATAAAGTGCTTAAATAAATTTTAAATATTTTTTTTTTTTTGTGATAACTCACTGACTTGACGTATCTTAACAGTTGGCTTTGGTCTACAGCTGCCGCCTAACTTATCAACATAAATAATAATAATAATAAGCCATAAAACTGACCAAATGCATGTAGACCAACCGACTTGGCAGGCGAATAAAAACAACAACAATATTGTTCCTAGATTAATTGATAAAAACTCAAGACCTTAACCCACACTTTTGTGTTGATAACGAATTTCCAGCCGCAAGACCAGCGTCAAAGTCGCAGCAATTACCTTAACTGCACGACGAGCACCACAACAACAATAACAACAACAAATACAACTACAACAAAATCTGTGAGAGAGCCCTGTAGAGGAGATGTGATGGGCATAGCCAAATGTCTAAGCAACATAATCGCCAAAACGTGCGGCAATTAAATGAAGCTGGAAATTGCTGAGATACGAAAAGAGTCTAGAGATGAGTGTGAGTATGTGTTTGTGCATATACAAGTATGTATGTATGTAAATGTATATGTGTGGTTCAACCAAATTCAATTAACAGGCTGGCTAGCCCAACCCACAGACATATGGCACGTGCCATGCAAAGCCGACGCGCGCGAGACTTGTCTATAAGACGGCTATATATAAGAACAACAATAGACGCCATCAGCGAAAAGTGAGCAGCGTAGACAAAAAACATGCAATATTGTGCAGTGTTGCTGCTGTTATTGGGGCTGTCGGTGGTACTGGTCCGGGTTCATACATACGGCGGTTACTATAAGGGTGACTCCACACACTCCCAGGACGATGATGAAGCAGATGCTGATCTGCGCCGCTGGCAAGAGGGCTACGAGCAATGGCGAAGAAGGTGCGCCAAATATGACAACCCGCCAACGGAAGAACCACCTGTGAGCACACGCATAGCCGGTGGTTCATTGGCCACACCGGGCATGCTGCCCTACCAGGCCGGCCTACTCCTGCGCCTGGCCAACGGGGATGGGATTCAATGTGGTGGATCGCTAATCACACAACGATTCGTGTTGACGGCTGCTCATTGTGTGTTTGACGCCGTAGAGGGTCGAGTCTTTTTGGGCGCCACCCGTTATGCGGACGAGATGGATGCTGCCGAGTTCTATAATGTTACCAAGCATGATTTCCGTATATACGAGGATTACCTAGGCTATGGTGGCTACAACGATCTAGCGCTCATCAGGCTTCCTCGAACTGGAAGAGAGAGCAGGGGGAGAGTGCAACCCATTGCCTTGGCCCTGGAGTTCATGCAGCAAGCGCTGCTAGAGGAGCAGCCCGTGAGCACTTCGGGCTGGGGTCGATTGGGCGATAAGCCCCGCAGCATTGAGGAAGGCAATCTGCTCCATTATGTCGATGTGCGTGTGCTGGAGCAGGAGCGTTGCTTTTGCTATTTTCTGCCCGGACTGGTCAGTGAGCAACGCCACATATGCACCGATGGCCTGGGAAATCGGGGCGGCTGTGAAGGTGACTCGGGTGGTCCGCTGGTCTATAACTGGCGCAATGGCAGCTATTTGATTGGAGTGATAACATTTGGCAGTGCTGCTGGCTGTGAGGTGGGAGCGCCCACAGTCTATACACGTGTGACAGCATATCTACACTGGATCAGGCGAGAAACGGGACAGGCGGGCAGCATACATTAAACGTAGCTTGGCACTGCACTTAACACTCAGCACTGGACAAAATGTCGCAATAAATGCAATTAACGCCTAATTGTGGGCCATTAATTGCTAAACAATATGCTCGATTCAAACACAAACCCGCACACACACGCACTCCTTCCTCCTCCTTCAGGCAAACAAAGCGGACAACACGGAGCCAGCGCCCACTACAGGGGCAATAAAAGCAATTAAGGCCACAACAATAACAACAATAAGAAGAACAATAACAACAACAACAGCAGCAGCAGCAGCAGAAGTGGCAACGAAATTGAGTCAAGATAGCTTGACTCGTTTTGCGTACTTCACAGCCACACAACGACGCGTCGGCAACAATACAAGTATCGCAACGCCCATTGCCCCCTGAAATGGTTTCGTGCGTATCTGCATCTGTATCTTGAATGGAAATTGTGGCGCATAAATACCAATAAAATAAAAATTACAAAAGGAAGTAAGAAAAAGGTGAATTGGCTGAATGGTAACTTCAGCGTGCCGAACACTTGCAACAGCCTGGCAAACTTTCTTGTTGCATGTTTCTTGAATCGTGAGCCAGGGGGGAAGCGCTTATTAAAATGAATTAGTTTGCAAAACAAATAAAAATTCATTAATTCTGATTTATATCGATCTGCCATGTTTAGAATGTTGCTAAATTCCTTGGACTTGAATTGTACATACAATGTACTTCAATACACCTACTCATACTAACATAGCGGCCATGAATTTGAATTAGGAAGATGGGCTTCAAAATAATTGCAATAACTCTGGCACAGTTGACTAATCTGGTACCCTAACATTATCGGCCAGAGATGGCAATAAATATGGATCTTTGAATATGAGACGCCCTTTAGCAAACTTTCCACAAAACTGCTCTACAAAAGCTGAAAACAACTTTCAAAATTCAATTTGTCCTTAAAACCTTTTTTGAAATAAAATGTTAACTCACAATTTGTATAAATTTTAAATAAGGAAAAAAAATTTAAGAAGGCATTACGTTTTATTTATTGTCTATTCAATAATAAAGTTTTTTTGTAATTTTTCCAGTTTTTGAAATGCACAAGTGGCATTAATCAAATATGCCCATCGCTATATAATAAAAAAAAATCAATTTTGACATAATTTTATTTGAGACCTGGGATACTTATAATGGAATGAAAAGATCCAAGGCTCCAATTTAATGTGTTTTCAATATAGTTCTAATGAATATATGTAATTATAGATTTGTTGTAGAGGAAAATATTTAAATTAATGTTATTTAGCCTTAAAATGGAACTGTTTTTGGATTTGTTAAAGTTTTCCGGTTGATGATCAAAATAAATTATTATTTTAACGCAGCGTGCATTATTTAATCAAAATTGTGGGAAAATCTACGTATACCCTTGACCACATACATATATTCTGTTTTCAGATCTTGAAAAATGTGTACAATATTATGTTTCAACTTTTGAGTGATTTTGGAGCTCTAAGGCTTACAACAACATAATTTTGTATAATTTTGGAAATGTATCTTGCGAGATTTTGGAGTACCATGGAGTACACTCACAAAACCCTGTTGCCAGCATTCACAAAAAGCTTTAAGAACTAGTTAGCATGTTGTATATTTAACACATTTGAACATAATTTAGTTGAGTGCTACTCATGGTATTATCGCATAACATACCTATTACATTTATTTACTCGTAACAAGTCAACAACGAATAGAAATCATATGGGAGTCAAGAAGCGTACACACTTATCAAAATATTATTATCTTTTGCCTAATCACTTAAATAATTGCCAAAAGCGCACACTTTTAAGGTCATTGCATTCACAGGCACCCCCAACCACCCAACTAAAGCCGGCCATGTACATGATAAAGATTACGGACTGTGGTTGTTGTGGTTGAATGAATGAGTAAATGCGGCTGTTTCATTTATCTCAAAACGAAAACTTTCAACATTGAGACTTTAAACAGTTTGTGATGCGCGTTTTCACAGATAATTGAGTTACTAAAATAATTCACATTACATTTTGTGTAAAACAAGTATTGATGGTCTCTATATCAGTAAAAAAAAAATATATCATTTATTTAAAACAAAACATTCAAAACAACACGTCGTATATTCGGGATTATTATAATTTTATTGCTGTCGCACGAGCATCGGGTTTTGGGTCAATAACTGCAGATATTCTTTTATGAGGCAGGCACGCGCGGCCCACACATGCGCCATTATCTTTGTCAAATACTCCAAAATGTTATCAAATGATGCCACAAAGAAATTGTTTAATTTTACAACCATGCTCTCTGACGATATATAAACGATTCCAACCATTTGGAAGGCATCAGACAAGTACTTCTTACCAAGCAAGCAGCAATATGCAACTTTTAATTATTATCGCCTTGGCGATCGTTGGGATCGAGTCGGCTCCAGAGTCGAGGCTGAGCAGCCCGCTATCCCTGCTCAGCACAGAAACCCGCATAGTCGGCGGAGAACCTGCGCAGCTAGGAGAAATTATATACCAAGCCCAATTGACACTGAATTTTATATATAGATGTACAGGCATCATACAATCAGCGCACTGGGTTCTGACTGCTGCTCATTGCCTAGAGAAGTAAGTAACTCCTTGATACGCTCAGGACAACAGAACAGAAATTACAAGAACGATTATTTTCCCATTCACAGTACATTGATTGCACAAATATATGTTGGAAGTATACAATCGGAGGACACAACAACAGTTCGCACGGCCACCATTCTGTCAATGTTTAAACATCCGCAGTTTAATAGAAACACCCTAGACTTCGATGCTGGCCTCATCAAATTAACCCCCAAATTGAACTTCAATTTCTTCATCGGACCCGCTAAGTTACCGGCCACATCTGAGTTTATTGACTACACCAACGACTTAGTGATTATAAGCGGATGGGGGGCAACATCAGATACCTCTGGAGTCTCCACAGTCCTAAATACAGTGAAGATGCATGTCTATGCCAACAATCTGTGCGCCGATTATTACGGCTCTGACATTATCACCGAACACAAAATTTGCGCAAAAGCAAATAATGAAGAAACAAAATCCACTTGTGGTGGGGATTCTGGCGGCCCAATGTATCATAATTCATCAGAGACGGTGATAGGCATCACCTCCTTTGGCTCTATTGAAGGGTGCGAGATGGGTGCTCCGGTCGGGTTCACTCTTATCCGCAGCGTAATTAATTGGATAAACCTGGTTACCAACTAGTAGTAAACCAATATAGGCCATACCTACAATTTTTTAGAATATAAGTTTTACGTTAATCAAATACTATGCACACTATCCAAAATATGTTACCTATACCTAATTTTGGATAAATTTAAATAAAACTAGTTATTAAAAAATTAGTTGTACTTTATTATGATTTTAAGTACAAATATCAAAACAACGACTCACAAATTGCCGTTCGTACATTGGTAATGGAAAAAAGATTAAAGAAATTAATACATGTATGTCATAGACATATGAAAATATATCCTAAAACATACAAATTGTATTAATGCTTCTCAATTAATCACAGAAAATAAAACCAATAGATTACTTCAATTACTTTTTAATGAAATAGGAAGAATAAAATATACACATGAGTAAAAAGATGGCACGCATTTTTGATTATAACTTCCAAGTATTTTTTTATGTAGTTAAATATATTTTTTAGACTGCTTCTTTGATTCGGCATGAGCCTCCTCAGAAGTCCCAAACAGCTACTTATACCAGGCTAATACAGTGTTTGTGGAACGATATGAATGGCCATGAAGAACAAGTGCAGTGGTGCCGTGTTTTCGAAACTAATTAATATTTGACTTTTACGAAGCACCATCTTCTTTTAAAATTGTCTTGAAATGGCAACCGGATCAGTAATAACTCTGATGATTTTGGAGCACCAGTTCCTTGATTTGCTTAACCGGTGATGTCCTCGGTTTTAGTTTCTCGCCCTCTTTTAAAATTGTAATGCCATTCATAAATTTGTGTTTGTGACATAACCTGCTTATCGAAAGCATTCTGTAACAAATTTAACGTTTGCGCTGCAAAAATCTCGTTCTTTACACATAATTAAACCGACCTTCTCAGTTGAATTAATTTTAAAAATTGAAAAAATCACTGTTAGATGTTCACAAAACACAGCATCATATATGTAAGCAATGCAGAAAATCATGCGTGTCATATTTTTACACAGCTTGTAGGCTAAGACGCAAACTTCCCAGTCCCAAAAATAAAACCAGCAACTCTGAATATTTCCAAATAAATCAATAATGTTTGTTTTAAAACTACCAAATTTGTCAGAAGTTTCCAACGAAAGATTCTAAATTCAAAAAGAAAAACAAGTTCAAATATTTGTTGCTTTTTTTACCATCGATGTTCGTTGAGTGTTACAAAAAGCGAACAATATAGACGGTGACATATTTTTTATGTCAAGCACTTTGCTTTCTCTTTGTCAGCCAAATGAATTTGAATGGCCAACAAAATGGCAGCGCGCACATCAAAAGTTTAAATTGACATTAAACGACAATTGCAAGTATTTTTCCATGCAAATGTTGACAAGGGCGGCAGGGTGGAAAATAATTTTAACACAGCTGCTCTAAGCTGTGAGAGCAACGCACAAGTTTTCATTAGAATTCATTAAACTTTTTTGTAAAACGCCAAAAAAAAGAAGGAAAGAAAAAGTTCGTGTCAAGAAAACTGTCAGCAAAAAGTGAAAACAGGCGACAATATGTCAACATTAAAATTATTACAACGCATTTAAATAATAGGCCAAGTTCCGTGTTTCCTTTTATTTCGTGAAGTATTTCTTTTGTTTTCATTGCTATTGCCAAAGTTTTTCAATGAGTAGGAAAATTCAAACGGGAAATTTGCATTTTATTGTTTAGTAGAAATAAAAAACTTTCTGTATGAATACAAAATTCAGTATTAAGCGCATATGTGCTGGCACGAAGTAAGAAAAAATTGTTGTCAGCGGTCAACCGACAATTATATGCCCTTGCAAATTTTCCATATAACTTGATATGATTTTATAGACTAACTTATAATATTTGATTTTTGAACATATCTGAGAAGTAAAGTCAAACTTTAATAATTATATAATCATAAAGGAGATTTCAATATCTCTGTAACAAAATATTTGTGTTGAAAGACAACTCTCTTATCATATATGATAAATGTGGCAAATTTATTTTAAAATTTAAATTTCATTACGTCTATGAGAAAATGATCATGGACTTGGAAATCAAATAATTTTTTAAGTGAGCCTCACTTAAAATTGCTTTTCCTACCAGAATAATAGCTCAAATAATACGAATATCCTATACTTTAAAGCTTAAAAGCTTTTTAACGCAAATTATAAATACTAACAAGAACGGGAAACTTCAACTCCCTAGCCTCAATCGAAGAAAGCGAAAACAGTCAAACATACGAACTCAGAAGCATGGAACTAAAGTCTAGATACCCTTTTCGATCTCATGCAAATATGAATATTTATAAGAAATTAAAAAGCGCTAGAAAACAATGCAATCGTCAAACTAAAAGGAAACTGTCATAACTTTGTTTATTCTCTCGACATACAATGTTAAAAATAAAAAACCATATGTTGGCAGTAGATAAGGGGAAAGAGTGCATGGCCAAAACTTACTCAATGCGAACAACAGCTGAGCTTAAGAGTGGCTAGAAACAGGAAAATGGAACGCTTGTCACTCAAAAAATGGGAATGGAAAAAAAAGAAGGGACAACTCGAGCGAACTATCCGTGCTGATAAATGTTTGTTTGTTGCAATACCAAAATTTATGAAAACGGAAAAAGTTGCATTCGTATTTTGTGGCTTAGATATGACAAAATGCATAAACAAAGTTGCATGTGCGTGCGTGTACAGAGGGTGAAGGCAAAAGTTACTTTAAATGTCAAGGCTTCAAATATTGCGCATACGCAGCGTGGCACGCTGGAAGGAGTTGGTCGAAGTGCTTATTGCAAAAGTTTTGTCAGGCCATTTCAATATTTAAATTCCACTTGCACACACTTGCAAAGAGTGCAGATATAGCTGCACGTTATACATACAAATACATATAGACTATACTATACTGATTGAATGCTCAAAGTTTTTCGTCGTTGCCATTTTGCGGTCTCTGCTCTTTTCTGTTCCATTCGGTCTTGGCCGCACACTTCGCTCGTACTCTTTGATTTTGCTGTGCTGATGATGCTGTTGGGCCTTCATTGAACAACTTTGTTGGGCAATTCTCGAACTGTTGCCATTTTGCGGTTGCCCACGTGACTGTCAGTCTGTGAAATGGTCAGTTACTTGCGGTTTCATTTTTGCCTCGCCCCAATTTATTTGGCCAGCAGCATATCGGAAAGGGGGCGCGAATACGGCAAGTACTCAATTGTTTTCTAAATCGCATGCAATTCAATTTATTTATTATTGACACCTTTGAGCATTTCCTTGTCATTTATTGGCATTTTAGGGTCAATGTTTTGAATGCTTACCCCCAGAATAGATTTATTCTGAAAATTTTAATAAAACTCTATCAGAAATGTATAAGCAATTGGGGCATGAAGTTGTTGCCACAGCAAAATCAATTAACGGCAAGCAGCTCATACATTATGCACACACATTTATATGTGTTAGTGCGTTTATGTGTGTGTGTGATGTGTGTTTGCGTTTGGCAAACCGACACGCAACAACTTTTTGACTCGAACAAACTGAGTCCCGGCTAATAAATCGCAGTCAATTCAAAGCAATCAACTTAATTAACGATTTTTGGCCACATTGCTCGCAAATGGGTGCTGAAATGTAAGGTAGGGGAGAGGAGGAATTGGCTACATAATTAATTAAGTTCATCAGGGCAGAGCATGAGCCAAAAAAAAAATTGGAAGGGGATGGTGGACGCAAAGGCAAGTTGCCAGCGTAGCAAATTTCAATGTTGCAATAAACGCAAACAACACACACACACACACACATGTAGTATGTGCTATATGTGTATATTTATAGCACCACACATTATCAGAGTTGATGTTGCTAATTGTTGTTGGCGGCAAGTTTGCACAGCGGCGCTGTTGTTTGATTTGTTGAGGGAGCTAGAGACGAGTTGTTACGAAACCTTCAACCTCCTCCGCCCCTGAACATGAATACGCATTGACCGCAACGTATCGGGTTGCTAATTATAATGATTATTATAATGATATGGCAGCCGCAACAGAAGCAGCACATATGTACGTACAAACATTGTAATCACATCAATAATGAGCGTGCATTGCTTTAAGCTCTTTTAATGAGTAAGAGATACGAGTACTTCAGAGATAATATATAGAATTATTTAAAAGAGCGTACAGGTAAGATAACTGGCTTGCTTCTAATCAGAGCTAACTATGTTATGACAATAATTGTAAAAAAATGAGCTTGTTTCTTTTTTATGTTGAAATGGCAATTAAGCATATGATCATGCCAATTGATTGACAAATAATTGAGTATCAAAAGGCTACGATGCATAACGAATTAATAGGAATCAAGATTTGTAATGAACACAATTACATTTCTCATTTGATGAGGTACACAATAACAATCAAATATTCGAATAGTATTTTAAATAATGAATGATAAGCAAGCTCCAAATATTTTTGGTTTTTTTTTTATAAATTATTATAACACGACAGTTTGAAATTTTTATATATGAGAACACTCATACAGAATTTTGTGAACTGCAATTAATTTTTAATCCAGTCATCTAATCAGGAACGAACTCATATTGTGGAATTCCTGTTAGCTCGTTGAACTATTCTAGGCCTCTCTTTTTATAAGTGGATATATTTCCAGTCGTTCCTGGAATATATTAATAATTTACGCAATATGTACTGTCACTCTAAACTAAACTGCAAATATATATCAAACTGCATATTAATACGCTTCTTTTAATATAAACTATTTTAAACAATAAGTTCATAATATGACAACAAAGTCTTAGGTGTTATTTCATATACTATTCAAATTTAAAAGTCACAGCAACATTTACATAAAACGGATTGGTGCTGTACATTGTAGTTGCCCTTGTTACCTTGTGAATAAGCACATGGTACAATACACTATTGCTAATTAGTTTCTTTATGTTTTTCCATTAAATTTTAGTCAATATATAGTAAAGTCACAAAAGCTTTAAGCTGCCGACTGAGCATTTAGTCTGGGCAATCAAAACAAGAAGACATACTCCAAATGTGTTGCAATTTTC